GGTATTATTAACTGACAGTCACATGATTGGTCGAAAGATTAATATCGTCAGAAGGGATGCGAAAGGTTTATAAGTCACGTTTCCTAGCATTACATTGAAAGAGATGAAACTGGAGAGTACAGTATAAGCAAGTGATGTATTTCCCATTTACTTAAGTCCTATTCTTACGCTAAAATAACGTGAAAATAAATTTAAACACGAATTGCATACATAGAAATGTTAAATATTTTGTAACGAATTTCGTTAATGGTTCATTATACACATCAAAATTCATAGAAATATTTGAGAACAATGAAATCTGTCTACGCTGTCATCGTTAAAAGTTGACAGGAAAGCAAGGCTCGATGATTGATAACTTTAAAAATGACTTCAGTGGCCCTTAAGGGGCCAACCGGTTTTAGACACTTCCCCATCTTTTCCTATTTCAAGAGACAAAGAGAAAGAAAGATTATTAGGACAAGACACTAACGATCACCTGTTAAGAAAAATAATTCAGTTTAATCTTGTCAAAAAGCGTGAGGAAGTTTTTTAAAAGTGGGACACATCCCTTCATAGTGAATGCTTTTTCATATTTCACTTCCATCATCTCTCTCTCTCTCTTAAGTACATGTTGTAAAACTGGGTCGTCCAGATAAACTCGGAATCACTTAATGACTTAATTGTACACTCTTCAATTTACTAGCTGGGGAGTTGAAGAACCATAAATCAAGATGTCTGATACAGCTAATAAATCGTTTAAGTGGATTAGGAATGCGGTTTCGAACGTAACCGCTAAAATTACCACTTTGATACAAAATTGAGTTCTTTACTTATTTATTATGTATATGTGCACGGTGAATTTATTATTAGACAAAATATTAACTCTTTTAGAATTGGTTAATACTCAAACATGATCAAAAAGCTTCATCACCATTCGTCATTCTGTCAAGTATTTGAAGCTTCCCTCCAACTCAAACTATATATTCTGATTAATCTACTGTGTAGATTCTTGTCAAATAGATATATATATATTTTTTTTTTAAATCAATTTTGTACAGTGTTAAGCATTCATCGATAGCTAAATAGTAATTTCTACGAGGGGTTATTAAAAAAACTACACACTCACATGATTATAAATCTGGATTTATTCTGTAAAATTGCTTAATGTTTAGTAGTAAATTTTGTTTATTGGACATTTATGTCTAGAAAACACATCGAAATAACCGTTTAGAAGTTTTTAATTAACTAAAAAGACTTTTTGTCTGAGACGAGTTGAAGCCACGACAATAAAAATTCTCTATTTGATTCGAGAAAAGAAATTATACGCGCTGCAAAACTTGACGATTTACATATTAAAAAATATAAATAATGAATATTTATAACGATATTTAACTAGTTTTATACAAAAAAGATTTATGGTTTTTCTTCCCTTCCCCCCTTTTTTTAAGGCCACTTAAATTCTGGAACTAGAAATCTAGCTTTATAAGAATAGAGGTAAGTCATTTCATAACAGGATATGATGTAATTCGGGGGTGAAAAACGTAGGGTCAATAACATAGGAGCGTCTTCGGATGTGAAATATCTTCAACAATTATTTCCGTTTCGTCATTTCCGGAGTGATCGAAATAGAAGCTTAAATTTAATACGTGAAAGCACGCGAGGTGAATTACGCTTTGGGAGCGATTATAACAATTATCTGGAGAAAACGGATCACGCAATTATAATCGAATATTCGATAAATCTAAAGCGGCATCAAGACGGAAGAGTTCAGGATTTATGCCAAAGAATTTTGGGGTTAGAAAAACCAGTTTGGGATTACCAAAGTTATGGTATAATTAATGCAGTTAGCAGGTATGACAGACTATACCCGAGGCTTTCTTCACTGCAATATGCCCAAGGCAACCGATACAAAGAAGTATTGAGAGAGAGATTAAGAAGAAAGGAAAAGTTATAGATAAATACTTGGCCTCGATTTTTAAAAGTCGTCTCTCGTCTGACCAGTTTTGTATTACTTACCGAATTTCTTTTGTTTTTTTTAAATTAAATACAGATGCTAAACATTCGATATTTGTATAAGAAAATTTATTTAAGATAACATCTACATAGTAGAGGTTTAACTTAAATAAATTTATTATAATATTTTCTTTAAAAAAAAATAAACCAGGGATATTTCTTTAATCGACAATGACGAGCATTTTTTAAAATAATTTTATGAATGCTCCCTGTTTAAATCGAGATGTCTACATAAAATGATCTATGGCTATTAATATCGTGGAGATACAAATTAAAAAATATATATAAACAATTTAACTTACTAAACTCTTACAAATAAATATCCCCTCCCCCTGCATATATATCACGTACAGTACTTATAAAAAAAATGCTAAACTTCCAGCGAAAGCTTCTATTTTTTTTTTTAAAGTAAACCATAGATTTAACTTGATTTAAATTTAATTTAAAGTGCAGACATATGTAAACTTGTTTCTTAAGTAAATGAATGTAAATATTTTCTCACATTTAATGATTTATCAACGGTGTTTAAGAACAGCTGAAGATTCCCAATTGGAAGAAGCTGGTAGCTTCTTTAGTTGATTCTTCTGATTTAGTTATTAACAGAAAAGTTGGTGCTGTCTCTATGCGAAGTTAATCTCGTTACCAAAGCGTGACTAACCCCAGCACGCTCCCTGTCAGAAGCAAGACCCTATCTAATTGAGAGTGGATTGTGTAACCCTTGTCCTCCTCTCTCGCTCCTTCTCCCCTGCTTACACACATTAAAAAAAAAAACTAAAAAGATATTCCAGGGAAAACGAAGTAGATTCGTGCACCTCTACTCCTCTTTTTTTTTGACGTAATTTTTATTAATTTTGCCAATTTCCCAACTCGTTTTAATGACCCTCTTGAATTTGACATAAAATCACGTGCTTGGATTCGCAAAAATTACACATTAATCTTTATTCACTTTTTATTCAAGCCGAGTTTAGTTCCAAGAAAAGTGATCTTCACTTACATCCGACACGTAGAAGATACTTATTAACATCATAAATTTGTACGAAAATAAGAAGCAACGTCAAGAACAGACGTAACGTTCCTATGTGTAAATTTACAACCTTCTATACAATTTTAAATCTTACTATTAAGATTATAAATCCTCTCTCTCTCTCTCTTAAGTACATGTTGTAAAACTGGGTCGTCCAGATAAACTCGGAATCACTTAATGACTTAATTGTACACTCTTCAATTTACTNTTAATGATAGAGAAAACCTGATTCTAACTTATTGATATTTTGACAAGTAAACTAGAAGATCTACTACATTTAAATACACGTAAATTGAAATTACTTACAAAGGACCAAAAGATTTATTTTTTTAAATTAAGATATTAATTACATTGCAGTAGCTATGTGATGTTAATTTTTATCTTTAATGTTAATTGAACTATTCGTTAAGATTTTTTTTTTTTTTTGGTTATTTTTAGAAATTTAAGTTGACAAATCATTAAGATCTTTCCGTTCTTTAGCATCTTAAAGAGAGAGAAAGAGAAGGAAAAAAATGCATGCGATGGGATTATCATAATAGGCTTATTGGCAGGGGTTATCAAGCTTAATAAAAATTAATGATAGATCAAGGAATTCATACTTTCTTCAAATTTAGTAACGATATTCGGAAGGAGATGCTTCTTCGATTTATAACAAACAACCCTGCATCTTTTCAATGGAATTTAGTAAAAAAAAAAGAAACAAGAAATGTATATCAAACTAGAAAAAAAATAATACAAAAAAATATATCCCAGATAAAAACTGTGCGACTCTCAAATCGAAGCATTGATTTTTGCATGGTGCCAACAAGTGCCAAGCGGTAAGAGTCTTTGCTCTCGCAGAGACACACGATTGACAGATCCGGTTAAAAAAGCTATATATATTTTTTTTATATTTTGTTTGTAGAAAAATCTAATAGTTTAAAACACATGACGTTTTATTCAATTATTTTATTACTGTCTTCTTTTTTTTTTCTTTCTTTACGTTCGGACAATTTGTGAATTTTAATTGATTATTAATCTGTCAAAATTTCTGCTGTCGTAAGGGGTGGAAAGAAAGAAAAAAAAATCTAAAATCGATTTAATATTCACTAGAATCTTTTTCAAATCTCGAAACTTTAGATTAATCGATATATAAAAGTAGAAAGGATTTTTGCATAGAAATCGATTTCCCGTTAATTCGTTTCAAATCTGTTCGAGAAAATTTTAAAAAAAAACTTATTCAAACACTAGAAACACTCAAGAAAATGTAGCTTTGTGAGTAAAATGCGATAATGTATGCAAATCCAATACGCAGTAAAAGCTAGATTGCATTGTAAAGGAACGGACGGAAGGGAAAATGAAAAAAAAGGGGGGGGAGAGATTCATTGGCACAATAGGAGGATTGCAACCATTAAGATGTCACCGAAAGAGACTGTTGTACGCAACTGTCAACTGTGAAATTCCCTTTGTAACCTTCGGGCATTGGCACATCTGTTTGCCCGCAAGTTGCCTCAGGTTGGTGATTAAAATAAATAATAAAAATATAAAGGAAAAAAAAACGAAAACTTAACTTCACGGGCGTGAAATCGGCCGTAAGTTTATAGGACTTTCCCGACAATGTTGTTCCCCACACATTCCTAAATCGATTGCTATAAATTAAGAGAGAAGATTTCAGAGAGAACTGATTTAATTTACATTGAATGCGTATGTAAACACGTGTTTAAAATAATTAAAATTCCAAGCATTTTGTTTGTCAGTTGAATTTAATTTACACACTTTGACGTTAATTTTCAAGAAAATTTGTTAGAGTAATAAATTAAAAGTATTCGTGAAGGATATTTCGAACATTACGATTAAAATTTTATCATCATAAATCGAGTAGTATTTATTTTAACAACAACAACAACAAAAAAAAAACAACAACATGAGTCATTATCGATTATAAAGTTTGTTGTTTTATGTATTTAAAATTAATTAAAGTATTATAATAATAATAATAACAAACCTGAACGTCTTCGGATAACTCACAAAGCAAGCCACATGATAAGTTTGTAAAATGAAGCCAAAGAAGAGCTTTTGCGGTCGGAGACAACTAAACTCCTTGCCGGTCGGAAACTGTATGACCGCTCAGCGTTGTTGTGACCAACAGTTTCACTTGGCAACAATGCGAGCTGATTGGATGACGTCTCAACTGCTCCTTCTAACGGAGAGAATTGGTACTAGTAAGGCGACGATCGGCATTTCTGTAGCTGCTGCTGCTACAACTTCAGGTAAATAGCTTTACGAAAAGCAAAGAGCGTCAGAATTTATATTTTCCGCTTGTTGCTAGGCGCAAAGATAATCATTTGGAAAAGTCTAAACGGAAAAACTTCTATAAAACCAATTCGATACAATCTTGATAATGATATCTTCGTGACTACCAGTCCGTGTGTTTATGACTCATTTCGGGAAAGGTTTTTTTTTCCAACAAAAATCTCAAACTTTTATATCGATTATTTGTTTTTATTTTCGAAAAAAGATAAATTTTATATACTTTCTATGACAACTTTTACCTTAGATAAGATGATTTTTACAGATAAAAAAATTAAAAAAATAAGGATATTTATCTGGTCTAATAGATCAATAACCCTTCTAAATTGAAATTGACTCGTATAACGCTGTAGATCAATATTATTTTCGGTCTTTAAAATAGTTTCTGTGTTTACCATAGGGATCGAAGTAATTTAAAAGTAGGAAAAAAAAAAAAATATATGAATAGTCTTATCGATTAAATAGATAAATAGATTTTAATGAAAACACTTTTTTATTTATTTATTTATTTAGGAAGAAGAAGTGATCGTTTCTATTGTTTAGACAACTAATTTTGATCTCGTTTCTGAATGATTTCGTATTAAATTTAATGTGGGGTATGGTATTTCTCGTCGGTATACGAGGAAAAAATTATAACAGGGATTAGACACGAAATCGATAATATTTTATGATTCATATATATATAACTATCAATAGATTTAAAGTCAGGAATATAATATCAAGAGCAACTCAATCATTTTAGATTTTAAATATGAGAGAATCGCACTGTCTCTGTAAAGCGGATTTTCCGTGATAGCACGTACGTCACGATTTTTTCGTTTCGTGATTTGCTTACGAGTCACGGGATATAATATCGATTGGAGTCGAATGCTTTACTAAAGAGCGTTTTTTGTTTTTTTTTTCCTCTACTTCCTTTCTAAATATTATGTATACAAGATAAATAAGCTCATATTTTCATTTGGCTCTCATTACATTTAATATAAAAAAGCTTTTTAATTATTATAAGAAGCAAAATTTTCCACCATCCTCTCTCTACTCATTATCTTCTGATGTGTTAGTTTAGTATACGTTCTAACATATTGACAGTTGTTGATTTGACTTCTGTACTGTATCTTTAATGAAATTCTGATTTAAAAATTAAATAATAGCAAGATGGCTGCCGAAGTTTTCATCTCTAAAACGTGAACGTCGAACGTCGAGCGCGGCGCTCGACGTTCGACGTTCACGTTTTAGAGATGAAAACTTCGGCCGCAACCTCGCTAATATTTTTATAAACTGATTAAATTTTCACGTAATAAACTTAAGTTTTAGTTACACTATCTACAACATTAAAAAAAAGTCTTATTATTTTCAGAATAATTAATATTTAAAGTTCTGAAACTGATTGATATATCGAATAAAGAAGTTTAAAAAGGAAAATCAGAGCATGTGGTTCTTTTGAGAAACTGAATAGTTAAATTTGAAAAGAAAAAAAAATAATGTGTAAAATATAAAAATGCTTTATCTGCCATCAAAGATAGTGAATGATGGATTTTTACAGTTTGGTCATCTTTGTTGACTCTGTGACTACCACCTAATGACTAAGCTCATCGATAGTCCTTCCTTTGGGACTTGAATTTATGTTCAGGGGTGGCTACTTTACATCGTACGAAGTTAGAGACCAGCAGGGATTGTTCATTGTTAGACTCGTATCTTTCCTGATAGCCTTTAGCTGTTATTTTAACCCTACACATACCTACGTTTTAAATTTACGATTACCGAGCCCTAACCTAATATAATATTCTATAATTCATTTTAGTAAACGTCTAGTATCTGAGAAAAAAAAATTTTTTTTTAATATTTTTAAAATAAATCTATGCTATATCTATGTAAAAATGGATATCGATATATCATAAGAACATACTGTAAAGAGATATAATAAATTTTAACTTTATTTGTAACTATTTTTCTTTTTGATTTATGCCGCTTTATATATTTTTTTTATTTATTTTAGTTAACGGTAACCTAATTACATAAAGAAAATTTATGGATTATGTGTATTTAGCATTATTATTGCTCAACAAATGGATCAATTTTAATGTTTACGCTTTGGAAATTATATATGACCCTATCTCGGATCAATTACAAGTTATTTTTGGAAATCGACGTACTTATTTTCATGTATACTTTATTATTAATATGGATAATTTTATTAATATTATATTATTAATATAACAAAAAAAACTATTATTTTAATTAATTGTTTGGTTCTGTAAAAGTTAAAGTTAAAAGAAGATTATTTCAGAAGAAAAATCCGTCTTAACAATAAAAAAATTTTTCTTTACTAAGATAATTATGTGAAGGAAAAGTTATAATAAAGAAAAATATATATATGTCTTATAGATAGTTTTTACAGAGAGAAGATATATATAATAATTTCTAACATCCTGAACGAGGAAAAGTCACGTAAAAACAAGAAGTCATAAAAAAAAGCGAATCTTTTGTTAACTCCAGTAAGTGAACATAGTTTATAGCCAAACAGCGATTGTAACAAGAAGTCCTCAAAATTTTCGACACGTTGGTCCCCTTTACCAGTGGCCACGTGATACATCGGCGTCAGAGGAAGTGATTAATTAAAAAACATCCCCTTCTACATTCCCACTATTACGTCCTATAATTTCCGAACACCGCTCTACCTGTCTAAACACTTTGCTATGATCGATGAGAGACTCCCTTTAGAAATCACCTGAAAAAGACTCCGGGCTGCACAAAGGGAGTACAACAACAGGTTGTGGGCGAATCTTTGGGGGCCTAATGCATTTTATTTAATTTGTAATTACACTGCTGTAGTATTTTTTATCGGTATTATCGATATGTTGTTTATACATTTACACTCGTGTATTTGTTTTTTTTTTTTTTAAATTTCTATGTAATTTTTTATATAATTAAATCCAAAATATTAATTATGAATCGGTTATATATAGAGGCATACACCTTATAAATATCCTCTCTTTCTAGTTATTTTCTGCAGATTTAATTTATATATTTTTTTATTTTTATAAAATCTCTACGCAACTATTTTTTAAGTTTATATCAATTTTATGTTTTTAAAGAATGAAGTGAGATAGGAGATATATATTTTTTTTAATATCCGTCTTCTATTTGGAATTGGAATCTGATGTAATTCTTATTGATTCATCATATTTTCTTTTAAGATAAAAATTCGATTTTTTTTTTTTTCAAATCATGTCTCTTCCTTCATTGAAATGTAATTAAAAAAATCATTTTAAAAATTTTCAAATTAACTCTTTGCTTAAAAAAATTAGAGGAAATTATCCTTCTTCTTATGTAAACAATTATCTTCATTTTTATTAATATATGCCCATAAGTCTTATTGTTTTTTCGATTTATACTTCGAGTAATTTTCTTAAAAGAATAGTCTTTAGAAGATTTCAATATAATTAATTGGAGTAATTAAGAAAAGGAATATTCTTTTAAAATAATCTATAGAAGAACTGTTATATTATTTAGAAACATACGTACTTTACATGTAATTTTTATAGACTATGTACTAGCAATTCCTTTGGAATTATCAACGTTAAAAAGTGTAATTTCTAGTAATCCGGTCTACTTTTCTAAAAATATAAAAGTTAGATCATATATAGTTGCTTCTTATTAATTTTTTTATGAATATTTGAAGAAGAGAATGAAGAGCGAATAAAAAAAAAAGAGAGAGAGAGAGAGAGAGATGCGAACAGGTCCTGGAGATTGATACGCCTTCTGGCAAATTTGTGTAGTGTTGCAAGTTTGGATATTTTGTGCTGACGTCACTTCCTGCCAAAAAGGGGACGAATCGAAGAAATTATCAAGTGAATCACAAAGATAGAGATTGAATGCGGCGGTTTTTCGCTCTTTCGGTTGCCTGGGGTGATGCGAGGGAAGAGAAGTACAAGGCGATTGATTGTCCGGATATGAAAGAAGTCCTCAGATGGAGTTTTTTCCGAGAGAACTTTTCATTGTACAAAACAGAAAACTGTATACATCATCATCTTTATATTCTGTTTTATTCTAAATAATGGAGTAATTACTGGAGAGGTGATGAAGAATTGATATAATTTCGAACGAAAAGAACTCTTTTGTTTTTCGACATTTCTACCCTTGAGTCAAAATCAATTTATTACTGCCTATAATAATACTAGAAATTTTTTCAAATGTGATTAATTCCAACTTTTCGTTTAGTTCGTAATTCGTTTTTTTTTTCCCCTTCTCCGTTCGTCGTACTTTTCATTTTTTTCCAATGTTTTCCTTAGGGTTTTTTCCCCCTCTTCTCTACACACATTAAGAAAAAAAAATATAGTAAATATAGTTTAAATTAATTATTTCCAGAAAATCAAATATTACGAGTTTACCATTAGAATATTAAAAAGGGGAGGATCAAAAGATCAAAACGATTAATATTGCATAATTTAGCATAGTTTTACGATATAATTTATCACACCTTATCATAGATTGTTATATATAAATATGCAATAGAAAAGATAACATATTTTTGCTATAGATTTTAATATTACTGTTTATAATAAACTTTTTTTTCGATATTATTAGATTCAACACCAATTTAGAAAAGACCGTCCCGCCATCATGTAACGTAACAATAAAGCAAGCAACAAAACCAATCCTCCGTATCGCAATTATCGTCAACAGGCACGCACATGTCTATCAGGCACGCATTCGCCGCCTGCTGTACTGTTACTGTACTATTGGGAAATCAAGGAAGATACTGCGCTTTCCGGAGACCTTATCGGTTCAGTGGAAGGCGAATCTAAACGATAACTTACCACAGACACTTCTTTGCTAATGGATACTTCTGTTTCCAACATGACCATGAATGCCTCTTTTGGTCTATGATAGAAAGGTCGATCGTCAAATATAGAGGAGTGAGAAACAGGTTGTTTAATATTAATGTCTAGTCATAGACGAAGTAAAACGTTTCGATTTGATGGACAAACTCTTAACTACTACCATTTCAAGCGAAGAAAAAAAAAAAAAAGACTGTAAAACACGCGATTGATACCTAATATAAAATTTAAAGGCTTCCTTTTAATAATTTAAAAAGATTATTACGATTTGTGACTTATTGAATGTTTTTATAATCAACAATATAAATACCTGTATCGTCGATAATAAATGATTTATCTCTCTACCTTTTATTATATAGCAGTATGATGATGAGGAGGATGATATCTTATTCATTAATAATGTAAACTATTGTTCATTATATAACACAAGCGAATAATACCAAAATGCAGAATGGTGTAACTATGTTAAAATTCCATCGAGGATATTTTAGTTATTTATAATTTATCTTTTAGTCATTAGTTTATCTTTACAGTTTATATATTAAGTGTAAATTACTTATTTAATATTATAAAAGAAATATTTAAATTTCTCTTATGTAAATACGAGTTCATAGACCCTTAAAAATCTCACTTCCTCTTGATGATTACCCTTCTAAATATACGCTTTAATTAATTATTTAAAAATATAATGACTCTTTTTTTTTTAAATATCGTAATTACGTAATTAAAAATAATTAAGATAAAATATAATATTTAAAGTTTAGTATTTTTTAAAAATGTGAGAGATTCTGATAATCATTTTCCTAATCATCTTGAAATAGGATACTCGTATTTTTTACTCCTAACGATGCAATATAATGAAATTGCATAGGCTTAATATTAATTAACCAAATGAGTTAAGGAAAATTATTTATTATTATTGAGAAAAATATATCTTTTTTTTTCCTTATAATATCGTCTTTTATTAATAATTAACATTAACGTAATAACGACAATTTATACAGGGATAATTTAAAAGATTTAAAAATTTCTTTTTATAATTACTTTACTGAATAAATTCTATTTTATTAGTAATAAGTTTACGTTTTATTTAAATATTTCTTAACTTTTAAACGGTATATATATATAGGCCCTATATATTTATAGAAAGTATTACTAAGTTATATAAAAATTTTAGAATATTTTATCAAAGTTATACATTGAATTTAAGTACATTTATAAAGTGTATGGTCGAAACTTTTTCAAGATAAGTAGACTAGATACTTTCATAAATTTTTTCTTTATAAAATATTTAACTAGCAATATCTTTTATGCTTAAGAGCTGATTTTTAGAACTTTTAGAACGGTAGAATAATAGCATTTAAATAAATATATTTCGGTAATTCTTTGATATATTTTATGAAATATTCTATGAGTAATGCTTTTAATTATTATTATTACACTGTTATTATTGAAAATAAAAATTCTTATAAAAGAAAATCGTTGTACGAGATATCCCGACAGTAGTATTTTAAAAATATCATTCTTCGAGAATAGCAATAGATGTACTTTATCATAAAATTTTATATCAGAATCAGGTTGGATAGGGACCTCGTGGGAAATTTCATGGTATTCCAGTGGGCACACTTAATCCTATATGATAAAGTTAGGTACTGTTGAAGAGAAATTCTTATTTCATATAGATTTTATTATCTATATATTTATAATACGAAGAGTTAATTAATATATTTATTCATTAAAGTAGATAATACGAGAAGTTTTTTTTATTCATTAAGCTTCAATTTTTAAAGATATAAATGACTATTCACTAATATTTTAACATATAATAGTAAAGAGGAAAGATACCTTAAAATGTAAACAGTAATTTACTACTTTAGAGTATATAAAATTCGAAATAAATAGTTTTATATATGTTTTATTAATTGCTACTATTTTATATAATGGAAGTTTTTTTTTTAAATTTTTAGTATTGATAGGAAACTCTTTCGTCTACAAATAGCAATATATACATTTATTGGTTGAATGAGTTTTCTATCATTGAAGTTAATGTTACATGCGGTCCATAAATGCTGTCATTACTGATCGAATCACAGCATTTTACTGAGAAGAAGAAGAAGAAATTCTTTATAGTCTTCGATTGATTAAAATATAGTCGTACGAATGGTCATTCACAAGGCATTTTTATCTGGAATATGTTTTTTCCATTCGATTCAGAAACTAGAAAGAATAAACAATGCAATAAAATAGCATGAGGTTTCTGCCAACTGTTTTCAACTTACTGATTTGTTTAAAATGTCATTGATAAGTTTGTTCTCGGTGTGGTTTTGATGTTTTAGATTGAAAAGTATATCAGTTATATTGCTGTTATTGATAGCGTGTCCTTATTTTTGACTGGACGATTTCTTTTTTTATAAATTTTTCACTCTAGAATTCGTCTCGAAAGGTTCTTATTATTGATTTATTTAAGCTTAATATATAATTATGAGATATGAAAATTTTGTAAACTAAATTAAAATTTAATAATTTTGTAAACAAATATATTACATATAAATCAAATATTATGATTTAATACAGTTTGTAATTTATAAGAGTAAAATAAACTAAACAATTTATTAAATGCAAATATTTTATTATTTATATATATATNCCAGGAAGACAAAGCATTAAGCCACAACAGAACAGTCTATTGGTCTGGACCTGGATGAGGATTACGGTCGAGAAAACATCGAAGCCTCTTCTATTCTGCCTTCTGTACCAATAACTTGTCTTCAAACAGTGATATCTTTTTTTTTTCTCTTTTGGTTTTTTATTCCTGATGTCTGACAAACTCGATTCGGTGAATTGTCAACTCAGATCTAGAAAATTTTATATCCTTTAAGATTATATTATTAGAGGAGATCTGTTCGATGTTTTTAAATATTTATATCTTGATTTTCTTTTTTTTATTATTATTATAATGAAGTTGGCTTTTTTTAAATATTTGTTTATAACGAAGATATATTTGCGAAAGACGTTTGAATTATTAACAAACGGAGTAAGTTAATTATAGTTTAAGAGAAACTCATTCAAATTTTTATTGTTTCGATACGACACCGAGTATTTATTGTGTATTTCCGTGCAGCGTGAACATTAACCATTTATATATTTTTACGATTCATTTCCAAAATTTAGTTTGCACTCGTTGCCATTAGGAAAACACATTGATGTCTTTTTTTGGTTTGGTTAATCACTGGTAAAACGATAGATACTTCAACCTACGTTCTTCTATATTTGCGGTTTGATGTCACGAAATATTATTTCTACTCGAAATTTTCTGCAATGGAAAACACCACTTATATTTGATAAACTGTAGTACATTCACACAGCAAATTTACTTTAGTGATCTGCAATGTGTAATCTAAACACGAAATCTAGATACTTAGGATTCGTATTCTGCAAATAGTCATTCGTCTTCGTCTTAATTAAGCGAGTGTAAATTAAGCAGAAGGCAATAAACACAAGTGGGAACCAGTCTTCAATCTACGCCGAAATCACTTGTGTACCAAATACCAAGACTGTACGAGAGAGAGGAAATATTCTAGGCGAGTGGAAAGTTCGCTTTTCGATCTCGCCGGTTGATTAGACGAGTTTCAGAGACCGAAGTAAAGTTTATCTGTTCAAACGACGGTGCCATACACGGATCATCATAGTTCCTATGAAGAAAATAATTATTATATTAATTGTTTATTTAATAGTGTTATTTATTACTATTAAAAAGAAATATAGAAGTGAATTTTTATAACTCGATGTTTTCGATGGATAGAGATGAAATCAGTGATAAACAGTGTAAGACTATTTGAGGGTAGTGTTTATGAATACTAGAGGGATTGAAATTTTCCAAAGAGGTTAGGAAGGGGAAGGAAAAATGGTGTGTTCTACATCTCACTTGATAAAAAGACGAAGCGAAGACCTTGTAAAAAGTTGCACGACTTGAAAGGATTCGTTTGTATAACCAACAGAAAGCTGACTCAATATTTGTTCCCTTTCCGGTTCTACGAATTTAATTGAATCCCTTTCGGAGAGCTTTCTGTATTTCTCGAGAGTAACATGTCAGTGCTATTTAGAACTTATTCGATTCTGGTTCTTTCATGCTTACTATAGTCCCAAGTATTGTTGCACCTTTGAGAAGTGTGCTGGATTGGCAAAAGTTTTGTTTGTACGCGAATGATGCCTTTCTTTTTTTTTTTTAAGCAAACGCTTTTGAACCCGTACAACACCTTCGTTTCTCAAATGCGAGCTTCAGATAGCTTTTAAATTTCTATGAGGGGGTTTAGTTAAATCACTACCTATTCAATGTTCTCCAATGAGGCTTATGAGGATAAAATAAAAAATAAAGATCGAAACAGCAAATAAAGGACACAGTTTTTTCTTTTATTAGTATTATTGCAAAATAAAATAATATTTTAATTATTTATTAATATAGAAATTTTGATTTTATAACGACTTCTGAGATATTTTATTTGTGATCTGTAAAATTCTTTGAAGTATCTCATCCATCTGCAGTGATTCTTAGAGACATACGTGATGGAATTTCTGGATTTTGTCAAATTTTCAAACTGGAGCCGACAGACAATCGGACGAAGTATTTCAGAATTATTTAAAAGCTTGATAAACCTTTAAAAGTTATTCTGGAATCTACGAAATAAAAAAAAAAATTTTATACACAGTAGAGATAAGTAGATACATTGGATCCCATTATACGTTGGTACCTGAGCATGATTTTTCCATTCAGTCGTAGAATATATATTTTTAGCGATGGATTTTTCACGCTATAATTTTTCGAATTCCTTTTTCGGTTTTGTACGAATAGTTCTTGTCGAATACTTTCTTGAAATCAATTTGTCGTTCCGAATAGAATTTTCTTTGAGTATAAAAGAATGTCAGCAAAATGTCGGAAATGTCATTTGGACACCTTCTTTAGTTTCCCGTTTATCACTGTTAAGATTTCCGGCTCTTTCGACTTTTCCTCCACTTATGGATTTTCTGTTGTTTTTTTTGTTTTTTCTCCTTCGTCGACACGTCTCTTAATGTTTTAAAGTGTACTGAATCAAGAGTTGAGATATTCTTAATGCAAGAATCGCGTTTATTATTCAAATTCCTATCTCTATCCATCTGTATTAAATGGAAAAATATCTGAATGATTATATTCTATCA